AAGTGTTGCCTCCTGTTGCCCTGCTCAGATGAGAACACTGGGCAAGATGGACCACGTTCTTAGCAGCACCGCCAATATCAATTCCTGTTGCTATTCTTCCCAAGAGAAAGTGCTAGGAAAGGGAACCTTGGATCATCACCCTGTTGTTCTCTTGTTTCTGGAAGCTGGAAAAGGAGTGTAAGAGTAGTTGCTGGAGCTGAGAGAGGCCTTCTCCCTTTCTGCAGAAGCAACGCGCTTCCACTCTTCCTTCAGTGGCAATGGCAGGCAGCCTGGCTTTGCAGGTTATTGCTGCAAAAAGTGATATTTTCTGATGAGGGAAGAATGAGGAGACTGGAGGAAACTTTGTGGGAAGAGATGCTGAATGAAAGAGCAGCATTTAGCTTCTTAAGGCAGTTTATGACTAACAGATGCAGTCATCAGCACTGTAAGGGCTGCATTCTGAATACAGAGCGCTTTCGCAGTGTCTGTCCACTCCATTCGGCTGCTTAATCTGAGTTCTCTCAGTACTGCCGCTTCAGTTATAGGTACTGAGCAGGTACTTTGAAACAAGAGCCCCAAAATGTTGAAACTACCCAATTTTTTATTAATCAATCAGTTGCACTTAAAAATAATGGGTTTTAATAACTGCTTAATAGAATCTGAAGTATTCTTGCAAAAGTTATATATTTTGAGACTGTTCCACTATATTAGAAATAAATATATTATTGACTGTTAAGAGTTCTGTTCATAGTACATTAACTTTGGCTGGGTATGTTTTTCTATTAAATGAAATGATTCACAAAGAAGATATATTTATGAAATGAAAAAGGAATAGCTTTTTTATGACACTCAAGCTCTGTAAGAATACAAAGAGGCTTCCGTACTGTTTTTTTCTTTTCTGAATTTTCTGTAGAGGGGGAACACTTCTTAATAGAAAACACTGATGGCCAGATTCATTAAAAACTGTGACTTAATTATTGCAAATTTGGGATAACGTTGTACATGGATTTAAACAAGAACTAGTATTTTCCATTAATTTTCCCCAAAGTGCAGCATTGCAAAGCCATTGCAACCACTATTACCAGTATTATATATAAGTGTTAAAGGCTTTTTCTAGGCAGTGAGATTTGAATCACTAGCCATATGGTTTGAATCTGATGTTCTGTCAAACTTCTATGTGCGTATCACACTCCATTTAAATAAGATGAACTGTTTTGCCCTTAAAAGAATATCCACTTTCACACTTCAGACATTAACATTGTCTGTAAGGTTAATGTACTTCCTAAGGGCTAGATGTGTTTGTCCATTTTTTTGGTATCCACATCACACTCCAACAGCATGTTTACTTTTCTTCCAAGTGACTCTATAAAAAGCACCTGAAACCTTGTAAGTGTCTTCTCTTCAGGAAGGGAAAGGAAGATCATACACTTAGTACACATGTACTTAATTGAATGCTTCCTAGTGCAGTCCTCAAAGGAGAGTGGTTTCCTTCCCAGAGAGTAGTTCTGCCCCAGGACTGGATTCTAATCAAAACCCCACAGCAGACAGCAAGTTCCTCTCCTGCTCCTTTGTGTCCTGATGCTATTTCCTCACAAACCCTTGAAAAAATAAGCTGCTAACAACAAAATAATATATCATCCCATGACTCAAAATTTTGCTTCCATGCTAAGAAAAGAGAGAAAAATGTTTTCTGGTGTTAGCTTGCCATGGCAATACACTTGACAACATATATATATAACTTTCTCCCTCCACTGCTTTTCCTCCTTAAACTGAAGTTATTCACTTTTAAAACTCTAAGACCAACAGTATTAATATTTTAGAAGGATAACTGTGTATGATAACATACTCTGGTGTTTAGAATGGTTTCTGTTAGTGATCAGTCTTCATACTGGAGTGCATTACTTCATTTATTTGTTTCAGCCCTTTCCAGCAATTTCCAGGACAGAAAAAAACAAGCAAAGAGCTGTAAAACAGGAGCATTCACACCCTCAACAGGAGACAATGGTTGTTTAAAACAAGGCAAAACTGGAGAGGGAGAGTGTGGTCCTATTTTTGAACGGTTTGTTCTCTTCATGATGCATCTTTCTTTCTTCCAGCCTTTCTTTTCTGTTGTTCTTTTAGTCCCCGCCATAGTATTACTATGTTTCGTACTTTGTTATCTAGGCAGATGTATCTGCATAGTATAGCGTTCCTAATTTGGGGCTTATAAAAGCTAAACAAAATCCTGGCCTTCTTTTACTTGGCTAAAGGGAAACAAGAGTGGCCACAAAGAGCCTTTCTCATTCAGCCAGCACAGAGCAGATGGGGCACAACAGCATCTCCTCACCTTTCCCTTTTTTTATTAACTGTGGAATATGAAGCAGCTCCAGGGCCTTCTCTGCGGACCACTATTGAGCAGGGTGGTCTAGTGCGACAGTCACCTGATTCTGGTGCCTGAGGTGGCACGGAAATTCAAATCTGCCCCACAGCGTGGTAGCCCATGAGGAGAGCCAGGTAGCGAGGTCCCCTGCAGCGTGAGCCCCAGCACAACCTGCGCTCCCATCACAGACCATTTGTGGTGTCCACAAGGGCCACCACCTGTCCGCATATCCGTGTGGGAGTTCCAATCATGGGGATGGCTACCAGAATAACTGCTGAATACAAAACCCCTATAATAACCTCCTTGACTTTTCTGGAAATTAATCACGCGTCTTAGCATCTTCCTAAATTCATTTGTGTTCCTCAGCCTCGCTGTAAGTTTTTTCTTAATCATGAAGGCACATGCACCATGGCTGGGCCAGATCCCTAGCTGATATAAAGCAGTATATCCACACTGAAAACAGTAGATGTGAAAAATGGCTGCCTAAGCATCCTAGATTTAAGTCTGTATGTCGGTTATCATTTAAACATGTTAAAACATGCCCTGTTTGTGTCTGTCGTGGTGTTCTGTGACACCCATCCCTCTGGTGTGTAATTATGCTATCACTTTCACCTACTTTAATCATTTCTACCTGTTGCTGAATTTTTAATCATCTTTTTGACAAATCTAAGTAATTTTATTTTCTTCTTGTACTCCAGTCAGGACTTTGGCTTCTTGGTCAAGTGCTGGCTGATTGAATCATGCAATCCTCTACTTGATAGGGAATGTGTAAACAAACAGAATTTTGACTGAAACTATAGTTTTTCCACTGCAGCATGTAAATTAACCTTGAAGATGACAAAGAATACGATAGCAGCTCCAAATATCACTAATTCTGTAGTTGGATCCTCTCTCAATTAAAAAAATTCAGTCATTAAATGTGGGAAATCCAGCATTTACCTTTAAATGGTTCTCATTGAATAATCTTTTAGAAGCCAGGAGTACCTACTCTTATATCTGATACGCTTTATTACAGCTTGGAAATGCAACTGCAGCATTCACATAACATGCTCTTCTAATTCGCAGCGCTTCCTTCCTATATAATCAAGGCATAGAAGCCGAAATGGCCAATTAAGAATCCCGAATCGAGTCATTCTCTTACCATAACCAGTGCATTAGCTCTATAGTTGAATGTCCATACTGTGCAGCAATAGTAACAACTAATAAAAACCTTCAGCGACCACAAATTTGTCACATTACTGTATTTTCAAAAGTGGTACTTTTATGCTGTGTTTAACAATTCAAAAGCACTAAACAAAGTAAGCGTTTCCAGAGGTGGGTTTTGTTGTTGTTGTTGGGTTTTTTGTTTTTTGTTTTTTAACGTGCCTGCAGGTATTTGGTTGCTCTCTCCATCTCTCTAGAATTTAATTTTCTTTAAAGATCTGTATGGATTACTTTCAACATATCTCTGGGATAGAAGTAGATTTATTGTCTAGAGGAAGTAGATTAATGGTCTAGATGATGGAGTTTAATTGTGGTTGCTTTTAGAGTTATGGATGCAGGGTTTTGGAGATACGTAAGTGAGATGCACAAACAGAAAATTATCAAAATATTTCAGTCTTATGTCAAATGGAATATCTGTTATGGAGGATTTTACATGTAAAATGTGTTAACGAATGAATTACATGCAAATGGCTTCATTTGATTGAATGACAAAACACTGTATGGCAGTACAGCTGGAGAAAAAAAGACACTGTAAAGGAACATGTTTACAGGCTGAGTTCCATCATGTTTTTTAATTGTGAAAAATCACTAAGATAACTATATCGAAATTGATGGAGTTATTCGCATGGGTTTAAATTTAAGCTCATAGTTAAGTGCCTTGCTGAACTGGGGGTATGAGAAGAAGCTTTGCTGGTAAGGGTTTTTTACAAAATAGAAAGTAAAGTAGTTCTGTATTTGTTTACGTGTAAGAGGCTTAGTTAGTCCAAAAACATTAGAAATAAACTTATAGCAGCATACGAAAATACCAAGTGACAAATCTAGTGCCAGGGATTATGATTAGATCAAAGGCGAGATGACCTTTGTTCAAGCACTAACACCATAATTTTTTTAAAAAATTATTAAAAATTAAGTTTCTTTTGGAGCCTGACATTATGTGTTTCAGCTTTGCTTTGGACCAACTGGAGAGAGCATGATGAACTTGTTTGTTTTTCAGTGAAAACTGATTAATTTCCAATGAAAAGCTGTTATTTAAAAACAAAATAAATGCATCTCTCTATGCAGCATTTGTGGTCAAATATTGAATAATCCATCTGATAGCTAACTATGTGAACTTGAAATTAATTCGAAATAGTTACGGAACCTGCTCACATATTTTCATCCCGTAAAGAGAGAACAATTTCAAATCTGAACAAAGAGCTTACAAGATAAAAAAAAAAGTTTGATTAATTCGATAACAATACGTAATGTGAATAGAGAAAGTAAAATGTGTTTCATTCGCTTGACAATGCCCTTTGAATTGTTAGTAATAATGAATGCATTTGTTTGCCAGCTATGCGGAATGGCTGTCCGGTTATGTATTGTTAATGCTGCTTATATTTTAAACACCTGAGCCCAGTTAATGCATTATGAAGTTCTACGTCTTTGATGCATCATAACCTTACATTCTTATTCCTTGCAGAGGGGAATCCGTACACCTGGTGGGTTGGAAAAGCCAATGAGAAGCACTACTATTGGGGCGGATCGGGGCCTGGCATTCAAAAATGTGCCTGCGGCATTGAACGCAACTGCACTGATCCCAAGTACTACTGCAACTGTGATGCTGATTACAAACAATGGTGAGTGATTTACCAGAAGGTAGCATGAGTATTACCGGAATCTCTTAACTGTGATATCTACTGCCATGGTTTTCAAGGTCTTTTGCTTAAATGTTTCCATTTTTACCAAAGAATGAAGGCAGAAATATTTTTGTGATCCCTCTGACTGCAAAACATCTACCCATGTGTTCATTGCCATTTTAACTGTGGTATCATCTGTTGTCAAATTTAAGAAATTTATCTATGTTTTGAATTCAAATGAACTATAGAAAAGAATGTTAGAGTTACAAAGACAAGTACTACTAGGGAAGGCCAGCCTTTTGGCTGCAGATGCAACTTTGTCTCCCTCGCGCAGATTTATTATGATAAAATACTGATTTTATCCCTACAGTAATTTTATCCCTACAACTTAGATTTTTCCCAGATTTCCTCCTTTTTCTCCTAACTATTACTGCATATGACTGTCAACTGTGGGAGATGCAAGTTCAAGTTGCTCATTTAGTGACTTCCACCCTCATTATCCATCTTGCATGAGAAAAATGTATTAAGAACTAGTTTAGAGGGTAAGGCTTATGGAGTAAGGCTCTCTCCCCTACTTCAGATGAAGCTGTTGCCCTTTGCATGAGATAAGTAAATATTTGTTGCCCTCTTGGTTGAGTCGACAAACCTATAGCCCATTTGAGAGAGACAGTGAGAGACAGTGGTTCTGGTTCCTTATCTAATAAACAGTTATTGATTCATCCCAGGTGGAACAATTTTAACAGAGGGACTGAGGAAGTCCTACCCCAGAATATTTTACAGCCTGGTAACAGGGGCATTCTACTGAGGTAATTGATGTGGGTTTAAATCCCTTCAGGCAGAAAAGAGAATTAAACCTGCATCTCTGATATCCCCCATAAATGCTCTACCAATGAACCTACTGCTTAAAACGCATCATCATTTTGTGTGAGCCCCTGTCTGTGCTCTGAGAATGCTTGATTTATGAGTTTCATCCTTCTGTGTCCCTTTTGTCCTGACAGGCAGTATCATGTTTGACATGGTATGCAATGCTCAGTGACCAATTGGATCCATACTTTTATGAGCACTTTTTCCATTAACAGCAACTTGTTGATATTTGAATCAATATTGGCTCTGTTGAGCTAATTTATTCATTAATAGTTGTATGAGTTTCTGTAGAGCTACACAAATCACATGATATGTCAGAGATTAAAAAAGAAAGAAGTAGGAATGAAGTATGAAGAATTCAAAATAAGAGTAATAAAGGAAATTTTCCAAGACTTTCAAAAATGATAGATTAGGATGTGGGAATATCAAACAGAGAAATATTTTGCCACAGTCGTAGCTACAGTAAGCTTTGTCACTGTTAGTATAAAATGCTATGAGCTCTGATACGGGACGAATTATAGAACACCACAGAGAGCGAGAAGTCAATATTAGAGGTGGAGGAGTTAGACCTAGTGCCAAGCTTCAGAGCTAGAATTAGGCAGAGGGTGAAAAATATTAAGTCACAGGACTCTGATTCAAACACCAGGCACTAGAGCAGTGTGGGAGGAGGTAGGTTTGGATTTGTGACAAAATGGTTATGAAAAAAGGAAGGTATTGTAGTAATAATAAGGATAATGACAGAATTAGGAGCACTTACGTTTTTCATTGCTTGAGGCACTGGACGTGTAGCCATGAATAACGTGCACCATATGTTGACTGTTTTGTTTTTGTGCTGAGGGAAATGCATGGAGGAAATAACATTGACTTTTGATCTGTTCTTGTGGCTTCTCTTAAGTGTCACAGATGATATTTTAATAAGCAACCTTCACTCAATAATCTTTTATTATAACCTCTGTGACCCTGGCATACTGTGAGATTTTATGGAATCTGTTAGTGCTTTCGTCATAAAAACAACTGTTTACTCAAAACTTTAAACAAGAAGAAGGCAATTTCATTTGAGAAAGACATTTATAAAGCTGTATTTTTTCTGGATAGGCTTCAGTTTCTTTTCATGGAAACTCTACTGTGTATTATAGGACATTTCATGAAAAATGATAATAGGACTGAATATTACATTTTAATTTTCAATGTGTACGACCACAGGTAGAAATGAAAGCTTTACTATCATTTAAAAGACGTTTTGTTCAGGTTTCCTTTTTTTAGCTTAGCTTTGGCAGAATCTAGCCCATTCCAAAGTCACACTTCCTGATTTTGAGTATTATTTTGAGGAGCCCTAGTTATGAATTTTCTCTGGAAAAGGTGATTGAGGGATACCTAGAAAGTAAGTGAGCTCTAAAGTCAGAGAGACCTCACAGGGGCAGAATGTTAGGTAGGGCCCCCAGCACAGCAGTGCTCAGCCCTGGTGACAGCAAAACAGCTCCTGGTTTGGACCTCAGCATCTACAACAGCACTTTTGGAGTATTGGTATCAGTGGGCAGAACTAGTGATAGCAATGGGAGTCTAGAGAGGACAGAGCAGACTATTAGAAAGCTCTGAGAGGCGTTGGGTTGTTGTGAAAGCATACATCACATCAGTTCGAATCTTACTTTTGCCTGTACTACTTTACATATTCCAGGTGTTTCATAAACTATTAAGTGTCTTCTCATCCTCAGAGGTTAAAAAAAAAAAAGTTAAGAATACTGAGGGCATTACTATAGTGCAGAAGGGAACATGATGCAAGGATCCCCAAGCAAGGACTAGCTGAGATGACTCCAAAATTAAAGTCTGGGCATCATAACACAGAGGCTAGTAAGCCTTTGTAGTAGAGATACCTGAGTATCCCTGCACAGGGTGGAAATTCTCTTCAGTACAGGGATATTTGCAGCTTACACTGAGCAGACAGGTCTTGAGGCACAAACTAACAAAGCAGTTTGCCACATATCTTGCCTTAAGTCATCAGCAGAACTTATTTTAGAAGAATTTACCGTCCCCTAAAACAGAAAGGCGAGTGTATGCCAAACTGGACTAAGAGGCCAGATGGGACTTTTGCAGCAGTTACATTTCCTGAAGCAGAGAAGTAAAATGGGAAAAGAAGTCTGCAGAGTGGGAACTGTGGGAATGAAAGGTGGAAGAGGAGGGAGAGAGTCAGCCAGGAGATTCAGATTCTCTGTTTAAAGGAGGAGGTTGGGGAGCCGTTGAAGAATGAGTCAAACTGTGAGTCACGGTGATGTGGTGTAAGCAGAATATTGTCTGCAAATTTTTATTGTGGAAGTTGGAAATTGTATTAGATATGAAGGAGGGAACTGCAGTTTGATAAAGGATTTCATAGTGAAGGTAGGAGAACACTCCCCTGGAGAACTGGATTCTAACACTGCCTCTGGAACAAAATTCCCATGTGATGCTGGCCAAGTTTTGTAAGCCATTTTTTTGGAGGTGGGTCACACTAATTGTGTGTTCCTAATTTTCTGAGTACCCGACTGGAGACCCAGAGGTCCAGTCTGTGGAAGTACTGAACATTCACAGCTGCAACTGGAGTCAGTGACATTAGATATGTTCCATCTGAACTTATCTAGTGCTATGTACTCTAAAACAAAATAAATCAGCCTGTAGGCATCTCACACTGCGCACTAAAAATGAGTGTGTGCCTTTAACCTTATGTGTCTCGGCCTTAACATCCAATCTGTAGAATGGGAATGATGTCAGTTGTTCAGCTCATGGAGATATTGCAAAGATAGGTAGATTTATGAAGCAATCATCTCCTACAGTAATGAGCACTATAGAAAAGCTAATGAGAAAATGCTGTCTTTTTAGAAAGAGTTGAAATACACATTAAATATAAGATGAGGTCCACATATTGAACCATGAGGGTAAATCAGAACAGTGAGTAGTGTTTTGCTCGGTGAACATCATCCGACTCCTGCACTGACTGATGCAGGGTCCTCTGGAAAAAAATAATCAGTGACCAATCCAGGTCTGTATCTTGGTATGTACGCACAGGGGACAGGTTAAAGCGCTATATGCAGTCTAAACATGTGTTTTGTCCTAAAATTTGTATTTGATTTGATCTGTTTTTTTCAGTTATATGAGTGATTTCTTTAATAGATGCGGAACTACCTATGTTAATTATAGACTAAATTCTAATGTAATTCTTCTCAGGTCCTAGCTTAAACTATAATCTTAATATACTTAAATCTGAATGGGTTTTGTCTTAATGTTTTTGAAAAGTTCAAATATTAATTTTTGGTAAAATAGATAAGTGGAGGGGAATTAAGTAGTCTGAACTGTATATGTAAAATGAGGACCTCACAATTTGCACAAACAGAAGAAAAGCAGACATAAAATTACAATCACCTTATTACAAGTGATGTAATAAGTCACCTACATATATAAATGTATTTTGGGGATAGCAATGATTGATTGATTACCTTGTTAGTTACCGGGCAAAATGGTAGATATTGGCATGCAGCCTATATGGAGTATGGAATTCAGATTTGTACACATTTGTACTTTGCTTGCAAAGTGGAACTTGGTTCTTAGGAGAGGTCCCTGATGTTGCTGCAATGTAAATATTAAGTAATAATATTTGTCATGGTAAAGCTTTACGGATAGAGAAGAAGTAAAAGCACAGGTGGAAGATCTTCACTCAGAGCATTCCCGCCAAAGCAAACCTCAGTGCTGAAATTGTCCATTATTTGTGTCCAGTATGAAATCAGTCTGGAAGTGAACCAAATTATGTCAAAAAGTTTATTTTTCCTCACAATCGAAGATTATTTGTTGAAGAGAGTCTTGTCAACTTTCAAAGTCAGAATGCCTCCATCTTGAGAGAATAAACTGAGGTTGCTGTTGTCAGCAACAGGGAATTCCCTGGCTAGCTGTTAAACAAAATTTTCTTCAACTGAATCATTGTAGGTAAAATGTAAGACTTTTTAAATAAAAAAAAATTAGACATTATTACTGTTTATACAGTTCTTACCTCTATTAAAGAATCGATGGCATTGGAGAGAGAGATAAACTGTACCAATTAAGTAACAAATGTGATGATCTGCAAAGAAATTTAGGTTCCTAACCTCCTTTGATCCTACTGTGAGTTAAATGCC